GGGGCAGGCGGGAATCGAACTCATGTGGAAGTGGCTTTAGTTTCTCAGTGCAGTGCTTTAACCCGCTGCGCCACCAGGGAGGGCCCTCCTCTCACAGCTTTTTCCCCAGCCATTGACGAGATGAAGAAACTGGATCAGATTTCCTGTGTCCCACATCTGGATGTGTCTTTACTTTCTTGTTGTGTCAGCTTTTGTGATTCCTCTTAAACGGAAGGTTTGATCAGGATCCCGTTCCGTTGTTGTTTGCTCTTTGGGAGTTCTTCCTAGGCAGTGGTGTTTCTGGTTGCTTCACATCCAAGGTGTGTGGTGTGCTACTTTAGGGAAGCTGAGATTTGGTTCCTTCATTGTAAAGTTCTCCATCAAACATCATCCTGATCAGTACTCTTTTTAAAAAAAAAAAATTATTTATTTTGAGTAGATCTGGGGTATAGGCCAGAGGTGTGCGGTGGGGGGGATGAGAGGATTCACCAGACAGAGTGGGGAGCAGAACAGGCAGATCGACGAAGTACACTGCTGAGGGGAGCAGCAGGCAGGTCAGGGGAGGTCTGCTGCGCCATGTGGGTCACTCCCTGGCCAGGGATCAAACTCAGGCAGTGGTGATAGTGCTGAGACTTAATCCCTAAGCCACCAGGAAGGTCCCTAATCAGTATTTTCATTAGGAATGGCAAAATAATGTTTTTTTTCTACTTCCCTATTTTCTTCACATCTTCTATAAATAAGAAAATTTCTCCATCCCTTAGAATTTTTGGCTACCCTAAAATATAATTTATATAGGACAGGCAGTATAAATGCTTAATTGCTAATTTTCAGAATAAAAGTTGGGAAAAGCATCATGGGACTATTCTGGTAGCTGTGACCAGTCCTCACTCACTTCAGGTCATAAATGTTTGTGTGATAAGCAGACACTGGGCAGCTTGGTGTCCTGGCCCTTGGCATCGATCATCTGGGCCTGACACAGTCCTGATATGAGACAGCTTCAGGCCCCAGGTAAGCGGTGTGAGGGGAGAGGGATCAAGAGAAAGAGAGGGAGATAACAAACTCAACATGGGGAGGCAGAGAGAAAAGAAAGATAAAAACAGCTAGATACAGAAGATAGGGAGAGAGACAATGAGAGAGAAATATAAAGAAAGAGATGAGAAAGAAATGCATCCAGAAGCAGAAAAGGGCAGACAAGCAGAGAGATGAAGTGGACTGAAAGAGCAAAAAGTAGATATGAGCACAGACTGAAACAGGGAAAGGGGAAAGGAAAGAAAGAAAAGAGGTCAAGTAGAGAGTAAATTAGAAGGGGAAGGGCCTCCCGGTAGCCTTGGGGTGACATTTCAGCGCCATCACCTCAAGGACACATGCACCACGGCACCTGAGTTCGAGCCCTGGCCGGGGAGCTGACCCACGTGGCACAGCAGACCTCTCCTGTCTGCCCACTGCTCCCCTCAGCTGTGTATTTTCAGTAAATCTGCCTGTTCTGCTCCCCGCTCTATCTCTGGTGAATCCTCTCACCCTCCTGAACTTCTGGACTACTCTCCAGTTCTTCTATGCAAAAGTAAAAAAAAATCTTAAAAAAAAAAAAAAACTAGAAGGGAAGATAAAAGGAGGAAGAAATGTAAGGATAGTGAATGGGGAAAACATACAGAAATTCATGTTAGATAAAGACAGAATGTCCCGGGATAGAGAGAAAGGAGAAACAAATAGCAAGTGACAGAGAAAGGTAGAGGGAAGATTAGCAAAGATAGAGAGAGGAAAAGGAAACGACCTGGGAGAAAGAGGCTGAAAAGATTGAGACAGATTAGTGTCACAGAACTTGAGAAGTGCCGAGGGGAGCTTTGGTGCAGTCAGTGCAGGGTCTGGGCGTGTGGGGGACTTGGGTCTCGCTCCTTCTCCCGGGGGTTTCTCCAGACTCCCAGCCGCCCCCCCCCCAGAGACAGGACTTACGGTTGGTTACGTGGGGATGGGATCACGGAGTCTGAGTCAAGAGTCCCAGCACCCCTCACCCCACGGATGAGCACAGACGTCACAGACAGGATTATTCCCGGGAGCCTGAGGTGGCGAGGCTGGGCTGGCTCTCCGAGGTCTGAGACAAGACGTCCAGGCTGGGGCAGCAGGGCCCAGAAGCAAAGACCAGGCAGGCCGTCAGGACATGGGGGGGGGGCAGCTTCTCCGCCCCGCTCAGATGACAAGGGGTTCGGAGACCCCTGGGTCAGCCCAGGGTACGGGTGGAGGGCCAAGCAGCAAGAAGCCGCAGGCGAAGCCCAGAAACTCACTTCAAAGCAGACCCCACTGTCCCTTGGGGGTCTGAGCAGCCTGCTGCCTCTGCCTGCACCCGTGAGGCCCAGCTGACCCCTCCTAGCTAGTTTCTGCCGCCTGCCTGAGGGAGCAGCAGCCTGGTGCTCTAGGAGACCTACATCTGGGCCGCCTCACCTAGACAACCTGAGAGGTGCGTTGTCCTCCGAGGCAGCAGCTGCAGTGGTCAGTGCAGCCTGGAGGCCCCCAGGAAGCCCCGCGGCCCCGGACGCAGCTGTCACTGCAGCCCAAGCAGGAGCTGGGACGGGCAGCCCGACCCTGGGG